GTCGGCGTCATTCTCCCTTTGACGTCCAATCGCGAACAAGCACATTATGTTCATGCACCCTGCTGCACGTAAGGGTTTGATCACTGAACCAACTTCCATCCCCTATCTCAACTACCAAGATCCCGTTTGCATACAAGACGACCAGATTCTCGACTACTCTCAAGAAGCCGCTCTCCACTTTCTCGGCCAACAACAACCTCGATTGCAGACTCCTTTCCAGTACCAACCGGATTTGCAGTTCGTCTCTCCGCCGTCTTCCGCTCCTTCCTCCCCTACTTCCTCACCCGCCTCCACCATCTCCCACTATCCTGCGACAACAGCGGTTGCCGCGGATTACTCCTCTGCCGTCTTCGACGGCAATTCCTTCGAGGCTCCTTCGATGACACCCTCCTCCTCCTACAATCCTTCCATCAACATCCATCACTCGGCATCACCACCCTCACAAGCCTACCTTCCCCAATATACTCAACCTTACTACTTCAACGGCAACCCGATGTTGGCACAACAGTCTGTCGCGAACAACCACGGTTGGGAAGGCAACTTGCAGCTGTTGGGCCCAGCTCGCCTTCAGAACAATCTACTGAAAGCCTCTGCTAGTCCTTCATCGAGCCGCTCTGCACCCGCTGGCAGTTCTTACTCGAGGACAAACGGTGTGGCCAAGCCTCTGCCTACCCCTGTGCAGACCCCCGTGCAGTCCTTCCAAGATGGTAGCCAGACCGACGCCGATCTTGCCATGAGACGGGCGATTCTGGAGCAGCAGCAGCAGCAGCAACAACAACAGCAACAGCAACAGCAGAAGCAGTCTCGTCACCAGCATCAGACCAGCGACTACTCGCTAGCGCCTTCTGTATCGAGCGTGAGTCACAACTCGCCAGTGACTCCTCATACGGGCTTCGAAGACCTCGATGACGCATCGAAGGCGATTGTAAATGGTGAGAACCGGTTTCCCGACGTAGACAAGTGGATGGATGATTACTTACGCCTCGATGCGCTTTCAGACTACAACAACCACAACGCGAACAACAACATGACCATTGGCATTCCCAAGCTCAACCGCACGATTTCCGACATTTACCAGGACGAGCTTTACAACCCCGCCATGATGTCTACTCCGCAGATGGCCAAGCCCGCGACAAACCAGCAGAATCTCCTGGCACCATCGTTCCGGAATGTGATCGCCGATCGCCTTCAGGCTGCTAACCAGGGCCACTTGACCGCACGGTCCCAGTCTCCCATGGTGAACATGCCGCGCGATCGCTCTCCCTTCCGCCAGAACTCTCCTCTGGCCGCTGAGTACAACCATGCGGCTTTGCAACAACCTCAGATGGCCACCAGCGCCCCTACGTCCCAAACTGGGGTGAACATGGGCCAGGCGGTCCAGGGAGAGCCCAAGACGATGTCCCCCAAAGATGCACTGTTGGACTTCAATGAGGGCGACGATACCGGCTTACCTCTCTTCCCCCCTTCGTCACAGCCCGACTTCAATCTGGGCGATGCACTGGGCGGACTACGCCGCGAGAGTTCCGGCTCATTCCAGCCGACTCAGAACTTTACATCGATGGAGTCGTTCCCCAGTCAATACGCTACGCAGGGTGCCACTCAGCAGTTCGCCTTCGGCCAACAGCAGAACCACCGCCAGCCACAGCAACAGAACAACAATCTGCTGCATCAGACTCCCGAATTCCCCGCGTCTCTCCCTCGGTTCGACTCTACTGGTAGTGATGTGCTGCCTTCGACTGAGATGACCTCCCCACAGGCATCGCAGAAGATGCCAATGCAGGCACCACCGGTCAAGGAAGAGATCAGTCGACCGGAGAACACCTCGGCCGATGGAGGCACCTACACCTGCACATACCACGGCTGTACACTACGCTTTGAGACCCCGGCCAAGCTGCAGAAGCACAAGCGCGAGGCGCACCGTCAGACCACCCCTGGCGGTCACCTGGTTACTCGCGATACGTCGGCCCGCAATTCGCAGGCCGGACCACACAAGTGTGAGCGCATCAATCCGTCTACGGGCAAGCCGTGCAACTCTGTGTTCTCCCGGCCTTACGATCTTACACGGCACGAGGACACCATCCACAATGCTCGCAAGCAAAAGGTGCGGTGTCATCTGTGCACGGAGGAGAAGACCTTCTCGCGCAATGATGCGCTCACCCGGCACATGCGCGTGGTGCATCCAGAGGTTGACTGGCCCGGAAAGCAACGGCGCAGAGGGCGGGAGTGAAGCTTGGGTGGATCAGCCCCAGTTTCCAGCCCCCCTTCTTTTCTTCTCCTTCCCCCCTCCTCACCTCTTACAATTCCAATTGAGTGGACCGACAAAGGGGTGTGTGGAGGATGGGGATGGTGAGTGCCATTCAGCAGCCCCGGCGGTGACAGCATGAGATCCACCGGGTTTCCCTCACCATGACGGATCCCCAAAGCCTCCGACGTCATGGGCTAGTCCCCATCAGGCAAGGACTCGCTAACGGGCCCGGATCGACGGTCGCACCTGCTTCATCGGGCAAGTGTGGAGCCTGAGGACGTGCACCCAATGCAGCAGCCATGACGTCATGGCTGCACCCTTTGGGACGGGCGGCCCGCCGGTGGACCAATCAGCGGGCCGATGACGTATCGATCTCTTTTTCAGCGAACGAGCAGGCCTTTTTTTGCTTCTTTGGGCTTCTTTCTTTTGCGATGCTTTTCTTTGTTTTGCATTACTTGCCATGGGTCTTAGATTTCTTTTGTCATTTATTCATCATCTGTGATGTGAACGGTGTTGCTGCGAAATCCTTTCTCATTGGGTCACGGTGGTTTTCGGAAATGGGGTTTGCATCAAAAAAAGAATTCCTTTTTTGCGCGTGTGTATATGCAAAGGTCCCGCGTGTCTGCTTTCTTTCCAGCCAGCTTGTTACGAATTCCTGGGGTTTTACGCTTTGTACTATATTGTCCCCTGTATGATTGTTACGTGATGAGATATTTATTGCTGCAGCTATTTTTCGTTTGCATTGGGTCGGCATGGTGGTGGGTTTGGCGCGCAGATTGTGATGAAAAAACATGTACAGTATGAAATGTATACATATATCGTGAAAGACATATATACCACCTTTATTATGATTCCTTTTCCTATATTTCCGTCTACTAGTAGAGAATCGTGTTTCAGAAAAAAGGGGCTATTGGGACCTGTCAGCCTGAAAGCTCTCAATAGTTAGTTTGAGAGCTTCTAGCGGAAGAAGCTATGAACATCTGCTGCACACTGCACGGTGTCATCGGCAGGTACCCAACTACTTTCCTAAAAGTACCAAGAGGAAGACGTTATGGAAGCCCAAACATACAATAGTCCAATCTAATAATAATACCAATACCGATACCACTAATAATAATAATACTCATTATGCATACACATACCTCCCAATGCACATTGTTAAGGTACTTTTATCAAAGACATTGGTGCTTGCCGGCTGGTGGTTTCGGAAAGAATGAATGGGAAATGAAATGAAATGAAATGAGAAGCGAGCAGGTATGACATCATACATATGCACCCCTGTTCCGGTAGAACTACGGGAAGCTATGCATGGCATCACCATACATACATAACATACATCATTTTTTCATAACGTACAAGAACCAAGCATGCATGCATGTTTCTGATTTTTCTTTCCCAATTCTATTTTTTCTTTCCTTGCTTTATGGGATGATTATGATTATTCTCCGAAAATGTGGTTTTGTGGCGGTGCAAAGGTATGTACTTTTGAGTCATAGGAGAATTGGTAAATTGTTAATCACTTAGTTATTGATAATGGGTTAGTCAGTGAGTGGGAGTGAGGGTGGGAGGGAATAGTAATTCATTTATCAACAACCAAGATTAATTATAAATTTGACTATCGTACTTTTGATTCGTTATTCAAAGAGTAACTAGAAATAATCTAACGATAGAGTCATGATTATGTGTCTATGACTGAGCTAGTTACCCTATAAAGTAAACCCACTGACTCACTCAACTCAACTCACCTAACTAGTATTTCCGAGTGAGTATGTAAATCATTCCCCACATAGTTAAGTTAACCCCTCTTTTTTTCATGAGGTGGGTTGGGGGGTGGGATCCACAGTAGTAAATCATTTAGTAGTCCACTTTTAGTCCACTTTTGAAGGTAAGTCCCTTGGGTACGCAATTTGGTCTGTTTTATCGGTCGGCTATCCACTCCAATTAGAGAAAAAGGTTTGTATCAGGTTGGTGGAGAAATTGTGTGGGTTAGGGATCGATCTACATAACATCGTACACTTGTATCTAATTTACACTACTTGGAATTGTTTTTGTTATACACGATTTGGATGTTTCTGTGTGTGTGTGGGGAGGGGGGGCTTTTGAAGATATTCTTGTTGATATTGTAGTGGTAACGATAAAGTTTAATCTAATCATTGAACTTTACTGTTTAAATTCCAACGACCATATGTTGATTAGCACAACTACACCATGAAGTAGCGGTTTCCCTAATGTTAATAGTTATCGCCTCCTCAGCTACAACATCGGGCTGCCGTTGCAATCAGTAGTACTACAAATTTTTTCCTATTCGATTCCTTATCTTGCCTCTTCGGGTAGTATCTAGAGAAAAATCTCATGCAATCATGTTGTCCTTTTTAACTCTGCTGACTTCTTTGCATTCTTGATCATGCAAACGGGACACCAACTTCAGTCCAAGAAGATCACCTACTACTCCCTGCGCCTTCAGTTTAGTGATGAAACGCTCCGCTGATTCAATCGAAACGACCTTTTCTGTCGGCTGTGGATGACGAACGTCGGTGTCCGGTAGTTTTGCCCTCCCGGACTTGTGCCAGTGGGCTGATCGCTGCAAGGCGAGAAGCGGACGGCATCGTGAGGTAATCGGCGCTGCCAGTCTGAGCGTTGAGTAACAATAGGAGGGCAATGCCATTGTCCGATACTGAGAGCACGAGATCAAGGTGATAGGACCCGCTGTCCGATAAAGTATAGCGCTCTGGGAGTGGGCCCGGACTCAATGATCCTATCCTTGCACTTTGCTTCCAACAAGTAATTGCTGCAGAGGTGTCTCGCTCCCCACTCCTCGAGTGAAGCTCGTGCGAGAAAATCCCGCTTCCTGAAGAACCTCCATCCACTTGGCCGCTGGCTGAAGAGGATACTCGGTTCCGTTTTCGGCCACCCACCATTCATCAAGCAAGCCGAAAGTCATGTCAAACCAGGCCAGCGGTTGAGTTACTTCTGATAGAATCACAACCCCGTCATCAGTCAGGCAGTCCCTGAGCCTGCGGCAAGTTCCAACCCTGCTGGAGGTTGCGTGCACACAGTTCGTTCCGATGACTATGTCGTAGCGATTGCGATGCTCGGCTCTCGTTTTCTCTTCTAGATCAATGGTGTCGTAGTCGATCCAGGAGAAATCAACGAATCTGTCCTTCGCTTTGGAGACAATCGGTGCAAATAAATCGGTAAAGGTGTATTGGCACGGGATTCTCGCCGCCTCGATAGCCTGCGCCAGCCGCAGAGTCGTGCCCCCGGTGCCTGCACCAACTTCCAGAATGCGAGGGACCCGCTTATCGCTCTTATGATGCATCTCGTGTCCGCGAAGCAAAATCGTGACTAGAGTTACGAGCTGATCCGTAGATGTGGATACCATTGGTGAGTTGGCATAATAGTCTTCCATAATTTTGAATGAGGCTGAACTTCCAAACATCAGCGATTGAGGATCTTGTTCGCCCTTGAGAATGGGTGCCAGGTTTTCTCCGGTCAGTTTCATCAACTGTGCTTCCGGCAAATAGGCTGGAAAGCGGGAAACAAAGTTCTCATACACCTCCGCAGCAGAACCAAATTTTGGGGTTTCACGACCTCGAACTACTATGCTCGCCTGTATGAAAACAACCCCATGAGTCTGAAGAATTTCCCACAGTCGAGCAACGAGCTTGCTGTGCTTGGGTATATGCTTGATTGGGTGAATAACCGTCCCTGAGGGCAAAGACAGGACGGGAACCCCCATAGCCTCGAAGGCTTCCAAGATATAGGCCTGCACCAAAAGATTTTGCAACGGTAAAACATTGGACCCGTAGGCAATATACCCATTCCTATTTGCCGCATCTTGGAATTGGCTGTCGACTTCGAGCAGCGCCTCTACTGGGTCCCTTGTGGCTGCGGTCTTGTCACCTTCATGTCCAACTACCCCGTTGAGCTTGGTTTGTAAGATAGCCGATGGAATACCAGAATCAATAGGCGATACCGGCTCATTGTGATGTATAATATTATCACTACCATTTGTGAGTCGAGAGTCCCAAGGCGACTTTTGCCTCACCATTTCAGTGAGGTTCTCCACAGACGTTTGTCCCAGGCCTACGGTACTGATGCTCGACTCAAATGCTGCGTTGAGCTCATCCGAAAATTCCATCAAAGATAGAGAATCGATACCAAGGTCTATGAGGACAGCATCCGCAGGGATGTCGGCCGGATCCAAACCAGTGTAATTCGATATGAGCTCCTTAATCACAATTTCGGGGTTCCTGTACTTTTCTTCTGGTGGGGTTGTCACGGCTGTTGTAGCCGTCATAGGACTTGATTCCGTGTCACTGATTATTGGCAGTTTAACGGTAGACATAGCGGCAGTATCAGGGGCTTTTTGAGCCGGCATGCGATCAGGGCGCGATACTGGCTGCTGTGGCCAAGAAACGCTGGCGTTAGCAGCTCCAAGGAATTTGCCCAACTTCACCTTGTCCAGTTGATTAAACCGAACTCCTGACATCATCGCTACCACCTGTCTTTCGGGGGAGCGTACGAAGACATCCCCAATGAACTGATTATTACCAGCCGACTTAATACTTGTGTAGACGAACCACCCCCCCTCGAAATTTGCTAGACAGGCTGTTGTCAGAATCACACGTTCAATACCCACCGCAATCAGGACTTGGTCATCAGCAGCGTTTTCGCTGGTATTTAGCAGCAACCCTGTCACCGAAATTAGGGAATCAAGGAGCACCGCATCACATCTCATCCAAGTAGGGCTCTCTATCCGACCAGGCTGGCCTTCTGGAAGTTTGACGGTTGCTACCGCTTCGTTTCCATCCACTACCACGGACTGGATACCTTGGAGGAAGGGAGCGTAGTGCATCACTTTCGAGAACAACCCATACGCCCTCCTTGCCATGAAGCGCTCGGCCGCCTGGCAGTCTTGGACTCGAGTGAACGCGCCATCCACCAGTCGCCCATATGTAGTCAGGTTGGCTTGTGCTGTTACGGTAGCCATGCCTACGCAATGGACCGAGGGTTGTCTGGACTCTGGAGTTGTGGAATACACAGTGAACTTCCAGGATTGCGTGGGAACAAGCTCTTGGAGCTGCAGCTCCACTTCACGCGATCGGTCTAACCCCAGAGGCACCTTGAACTGCAAATCATCAAAAGTTAGGTGCTGTGTAGCCATATCCCCGAGTAGAAGCTGAATGGCATTGGTAACACCCTCTAGGTATAAGGGTGCAGGACAAAGTGGTTGCTTCAAGAAAGCATGTCCCTTGACCACCTCCTGAAATCTTTCACATGTCGTATTGATATGAAAGCTCATATGGGAGTCGCAGGGGCCTGCTTCTTTTCGAGTGATCAGTCTCATGGGAGGTGCAGCCACAGAAGCTGCGGAATCTAAGACAGTCGAAGCTGCCAAGAGCTTTTCGTGCAACTCCATAGCTCGGTCGATGTTCTCAGTCCAGGACTGGTTCCTCTCGAAATGATAAGGAGGCAACCATGTTTCTTTAAGCCCTGTAGGAAAATCTCGGATGAAGGACCAATGGGACACAGAAAGCCCTGAATGCCATAGGTCAGAAATAACCGTGGCAATGCCGGTCTCCGGCCCTTCACTTGGCCGGATACTGACTGGATGGAATGTGTGTGCTTTGACATCTCGCATAGCTCTCTTGGTCATCGGTATAATTGGACTATTTATGCCAACCTCAAGCCAATTGCAAGGGCCGAGCTGCTGTTCAAGGCGCTGTATGGCATTAACAAAGTACACTGGATCTCTCGCATGTCGAGCAGCATTCCAGTCCTGAATAGATTTGAGCTCCTCCTGAGTACAGGCCTCCACTCGAATGCTGGGTTTGCTCCATGTCATGCTGCGACAAATATCATCCAAATCCGGCATTATGGGCTCAACAAGATGCGAATGGAATGCATGAGTTGTTGATAGACGTTGGTATTTAAGCCCAGAAAACTCTTTGTGGGTGGATAGAACACGCTCAGCCAAGTCCACGGTGGCTGAAGCTCCTGCTATAACTACCGAAGTGGGCGAGTTATAGCAAGCGACCTCCAATTTAGCAGTCTTTTCAAGACCAGACAAGTGGGTAATGAGCTTCTGGACATCACTCGGGCTACTATGTATGGCGAGCATTGCTCCCCGCTCAGTTCCCCATTTTGTATCAATGAGTCGGGCTCGATATGCAATCAACTTCAGACAGTCAGTGAGGGAAAGAGCTCCAGACACCCCCAGTGCGACTATCTCGCCAAGACTGTGGCCAATAATGGCATCAAGCTTAAGCCCGCCATCAATCCAGCAGCGAGCGCAGGCGTATTGTACCGCAAAGATACTGCATTGCAGGCTCAGTGCACTGTCAATGGGTGTTTTCTGGAAAATCGCTGTGGCAATACCCGGAAACCCCAGCTGAATTAGTGATGCATCGCAGGCGTCAATATAGCTCTTGAAGGCGGGGTATGCTTCGTAGAAGTTTCGATCTAACGCCACCTTGTTATCATATTGCCCGCTCAAGACCATAACCACCGCATTGTGCTGTCGTGTGTATTCAAAGCTTGGCGCTTCAACCTGGTTCAAGGTGCGAACCAATCCAGACACATCGGTCGCGGTAGCACTGAAGCAGAAACGGTGGCGTTTCCTCCGCTCATTCAAAGTAAATGCAACACTGGCCACGTCCACCTTGGAAGCGTGTCTTGACAGATGTGTTGCCAGGTCCCGAGAATGCTCGGTAAGGCTTGATTTCGAGGCTGCGCTCAAGATAAACGGAAATGCGACCCTCCGGTTCCTTGCCGGTGACGATAATGCATGGCTGCGTCTCAGTGCATCATCCCGGGGTACTGGCTCACAGCACAACAGCGCGCAGTTCGATCCTCCAGCACCGTAACTATTCACCAAAGCAGCGCGCTGAGGAACATTCCAATCCCGGAGCTTTCGGGTGATCTCCATTCCATCCGGCTCCAGTGCTGAAATTGCCGGGTTCAGGCGACTGTGATTCGCCTGAGGGGGGATGCCGCTGAATTTCATCATGGCCAACACCTTGAGAAGCCCAGCAACACCTGCAGCAGGCTCACAGTGCCCAATGTTACCCTTGATAGAGCCGATAGACAACGGTGTTGCTCGTGACGAGTCTCCCAGTATTGCCCGAATGCTTTCCATTTCGATGGGGTCTCCTGCCTGAGTTCCCGTTCCATGAGCCTCCACGTAGGTGACGTGAGACGGCTTGAGACCCGACTTCTCAAAAAGACTTCTATAAAGGGCCTTTAGTGCTGTCGGTGATGGTACCGTGAGGGTGGTCGAAGTTCCTCCTTGGTTGGTAGCAATGCTAGGGATAACGCCAAAGATGTTATCCCCAGCACTGACCGCATCAGACAATTTCTTCAAAACGACCAACCCGGCGCCCTCAGAACGACAGTATCCATCGGCAGCGGCATCAAAAGGCTTACATTGGCCTGTTTGACTAAGGAATCCCGCTTTTCCCAAGTCAAAGAAATTGCCTGCCGTGGTGAGTGCACTTACTCCACCGGCTATTGCCATGGTACATTCTCCTGCCTGAATAGCGCGACACGCTCGATGTATGGCCACCAAGGACGAGGAGCATGCAGTATCCAGGACCTCGGCGGGGCCAGACCAGCCATAGTAATGGCTGAGTCGGCCACACATGAAGGCGCGGATGGTACCCGTAGCTGTATATGCTGACGGGGCATGACAGGCGGTATTTTCCAGATATTCGTTCAGACTGCCTCCGATGAAGCAAGCAACTGGGTCTTCCGCGCTCCGCTGATGAGAGGTCAAGTACCCACTCGATTCTAAAGCCTCATAAGACAGCTCCAAAAGCATTCTTTGCTGGGGGTCCAGGCTGGCGGCTTCTCTGGCGTTGATGCCAAAGAAAGAATTGTCAAAACGTTTGATATCATCGACGAAGTTGCCAAAGAACTTTCTTTTCGCCATATGTTCATCCTGTAAGGCCCTGTAGCTCCTGCCGAGGTTGATTCTCTCGACTGGCACTTCTTCGTGAGTATCATGGCCTCTGGCAATCAAGTCCCAGAGTTCTTCAAGATTGTTTGCGCCCGGGAACCGACACGAAAGTCCCACGATTGCGATAGTACTGTCAGGGAACTCTGGTAATTTGGAGGGGAAGGCTGTCGAGGAATTTGGTTGAGGGTCAGAGACAAGCAGTTGATTTGCTTTGAACTTGAAAGTCTTGAGGCGTTGCTTATTGAATGGTGACAAGGGCACACTATCATTGAGTCCGAAAATGACCAGCCGGTGAGCTGGACGTTCTGAGGCTTTGAGATCGAGGGCAACTTGGCTGACCAAGCCATACCAGTCGCAGCAGGATGCGAGCATCATAGTTATCATATCCTCCATGATTTCGGCATCAGTCAATGCTTTTCCGGTTATGCTCGATCGTACAGTGACTTGTAGTCGACTTTGCTGAGGCAGCTGAAGCATAGATGAATTCTTGTTGAGAATGTCCATGAACTCTGGCACTACGTGCTCATTCTCTGGGTTATGAGCCTTTCCAGTCACATCCATCTTGTCTGCTGGTAGACCGTTTTCCCGACAATACTCATACATGGCCGCTATAGATTTCGCATTTCCTATAAAACTAAGCGTGCGAGGCTCTGTAATTGTCGAAACATATGTCTGGTTCCAATGACACTGATCAGTATCTGATAGCTAACGGGCTTTTCGTTCTAGGTTTGCGAGCATCTTGGGGCTTACACGCGGAAACATTTTCGTGAACTCTTCCTCTTGGCCTTCATACTTGAGGCGGACGGCCAAGATGTTGGACTCGCTCGTGGTCCAATCATCCAAAGCCTCGATGTACGCTCCCATTCCCACCATTATTCGCAGAAATACCGCAGCATTGTCCATGATCTGCCCTTCATCCTTCGCGCAGGCTATGGAAAGAGCAGGCGGCTCTCCTGCACAACAGCCATGAATACCTCCTCCTTTCTGTATCTGGGCAATAAAGTCGGCGTGAGAGATACCATGGAAGTCCAGGTAGCGAAGGTACTCCCCCAACTGAAGAATCAGGAGCAAGGGTAGGGCGATGATTCCCGTGCGAGCTTCGGAGACCGGGGCAGAGGGGCCCCCATTGGCCCAGTCTATCAGCAGGCGTACATAGTTTTCAGCATTGGGCAGATTTCGCACATCCTCTCGATGGACAGCGAATAGATGCAACACGTCAGTCAGGGAGGCCACATGATGAAGCAAGGTTTTCCCGTGGGGATGTTTGCTCAGAAATATGTATAGGGCGCTGAGATCGGCAGGGTCTGGTGCTCGACTCTGGGGGTTGAAAAAGGCAGCCGAGGCCTGAATCGGGTCTATCGCAGCGGTCATAGTGACTTGGTGGTAATTGATGACATGGCTGCAAGTCGTGTCACCCAGAATGTTTCATGTTTCTTTCTGAAGACACTTGCTTTTTCTATGTTAACTGGGGTGCAATGGTTGGTAGCCGATGCCCTCCGGATGGTTTCTGGTTCGAAGGAAGGGGGTTGTTACCGCCGGTGCATTATCTTATTGCTATTTGACCGACCGGCACCGGAAAAATTGGAGGAATCTCGAGGAAAGAGAAAAGGGACGAATGAGAATAAATGCATTCATTGATACAGAGCTACCTTTCCTTACTCTCAAACATGTATCTCATCTTCACCTCTTAAGGCTGGGCTCCGCTGGTTGTGGCGGTGACCGCAGCGATGATGGGAATATCGGCATACCGACTGTGATTAGACCCTCTAGCTCGATTTCCTAGTCCTCGACTCTGGGCATGACAAGCAACAGAGAAACGCTGTAGACATGTCTTCGCAAATGAATCTTTGTAGGAGATGAGTAAATTTGCTGTAGACTGGATGGAGGAGATCAGGAAGGTGAAGAGGTCAGGTGATTTTTCTGTCTACAGTGAATGCATCCTCTACTAACTATAAATGGCTATAGTAATAGCCTATGCTGCAAAATGTTATCCGGTGCAGACATATACTACTACAAGGTACTAGAAATTAATATCTAGCCCGTCCAGCTGGAGATTGAGGTAATGTGGGAACTCTTGGGCCACATCGATCAGCCAGAGGGCCGTGCCACAAGCTACATCGGCCACCTTCCCAAGCACCGTTGGCGTGGTGGGGATCGAGGGTGGATGCTATAGCCGAAGACTTGGCGCCATAGGAAATGCTGCAAATTCAAGCGGATGACCGACCGGTGATTCTGTTGGAGAGCATAGCCTAGCCCGTCTGCCAGATGAAAGCTGGCTGGCGAGGAAGAGGAGGGCGTGTGGGGTGAGTCGGAGCTAGGCATCGTATGCGGGAAAGAAGGGATAGATTGAAGTTCTGTATATTAAAAATGACTTCAGCCTCACTTTTCTCCCTGATATGGTTCATCTATAAGCATACAACGTTACATCGTGCCTGGATGCCCGACAAATAAAGGCTTAGTATAATTTAGTATACTATTAGCCCGTGTCTAGCCTGTTCTCGCTTACTCCGTAGATATTGCAATCGACCAATCAATTGAATGGGACAGGGTAGACTAAAGCTTCCAAACGATAAGCGAGTGGCTGTAAAGTTAGCTCGTCCTTCCAGCCTTCTCATGCAAGTCCTGTTCCTGGACTGGTCTCATCTCAATAAGCGGCAGGTATTGCAAGGACTGGCTCTTCTGCTGCACCAAGGTCGAGGCCAGGGAACTTGACATTCTCCAGTACTAACATATCACAGGTTATTATTTGTATCCTGCTTTGAGGTTTATTTTTTCTTGCACTACCGGGGGAATTTTGGGTTTTTTCACATAGCTCCAAAACCCACCGGGTCTCCCTACCGGAGGAATGATGCCTGTCTGTGATACCCGCCGGGCAAATTCCCCGGATAATACAGGAGGACCCGGGGTATCTTGTCTTTCTATTGCAGCTGGCTACTCCGTCAACTTCTGAGGTATGACAAATGTAAGCAAAAAATGGAAATAGAAACTCAGGCACTCGACAACGGTCTCCGTTTCTCGTACACTTGTTTTTTCCTCCTGCCTCAGCCTGTACATTTCCATTGACTTCGGTATGTTTGAAAGGCCAGCAGTCCGAGATTATTTTCGTTGAGATAGTAGACAATTGAAACCACAATAAGAGGCTTAAAGTTGCTAGACCGGTAGCTCTGTCCTACATTCATTCGCGTGAGCACTGTGGTCATGAGCAGGCTTTGTTCAGCTCGTTAAGTCTGTCTGAGAGGCCTAATCGCCGTGGCGACCGGTAGATTCATTCAAGCCGAAGAAACCGGCTCGTAGTAGTAGAAGCATGGCACAACATTAGCCTTGTCGATTTGGATTGGTGGCTGCACTGCCGTGATCAGGTAACAAGGAAAAGTGATCAGTGGAATGAGCTAGTGAGAGAAAGGCCGCCACCGCGCAAAATATTCAAGGATAAGCTACATCCCCATGGATATCATTCACCTCAAAGAACATCCATCACTCAAGACGTGCGTGTAGTATTGTGCTCTATTGTTGGGCACCATCTATACTTCAATTGCTCCCTTTGTTCGCTCTGATAGTTCTGCCAGCACGCTGCGAATGCCCTTGACGGTCTTTTCCGCTTGACACATTATGGTCCGCACGAGGAAGGACATTTCACCCGTGCTCTGGTGCAAGATTCCCTCCCCCTGGAGCATCCGCCCGCTCACACAAAGGTCGGCTGGAAGGCCAAGAAGAGCCTCGGTCTCTCCAAGATGATGAACACAGATCTGCAGGACGAACTTGAGCTGGAAGCGGTAATAAGACGACAGTGAAACGCCGCCAATGTGCAGCATTGGGAAAAGAACGAAAATATCAGAAGGTGAGAATTCATGAGATGGGCAGTCGCTAAGCTTCATCAGGGCGAAATTCATCTCTTGGTAAAGGGCGTAATGAAGCTGCGTCAAACGAATGTACGCTGACAGGACCTGCAAGATCATGGCTGTGTCTGACAATATGGGGTCCAGACCATCAAGCGCTTCTAGCATCGATCTGGCTTCACTAAGAACGCGATGTAATTCAACGGAGCTCTCAATCACATTGGCTGCTAGCTGTTCCAGCCGTGGCATGGGGTTATTTGCCGTGTCCGAGTCTATGGAGGAGAGCGATTTGATTTGGCTCGCAAGCTTTACGCTGAGTGCGCAGAGCTGCTGGATGACACTCCCTGCAATGGGAGGAACAATGAGCTCGCATTCTATGGGTTTGGTGCCTGTGCCTGGCTGGCTGCATTCCGTAACCAATAAAGGGCTGTCTCTAATGACTGGTTGATCCGTTATGGAATCTACTTGTTGGCGATTGCTGTCCGTTGGCAGCGGATGGGAGGCGCCTTCAACATACGTCCTGGATGTATCCCCGTCATCCCAAGTTCCAAGCCCGGGTATCGTGGGCAATGAATTACTGAAAAGCGGTATCAGCGTCTCTGAATCGTCTGTAACCGCATCGAGAAGCATGGCCTCGAAGCTTGGCTGGGCGTCATCTGTGCCTTCCAAGGTGCCATCATTCTCCTGGAGATCTCTAGAGCCGCCAAGGGAGTCTGAATACGGCCGGCGATGTTGATGTTGGTGCCTTTTCTGTTGCTGTTGCCGTCGCCTTCTTTGTTGTTGCTGGTTCTGTTGTTCGCCCCGATTACTGCTCGCGAGTCTCCAGCCGCCCGACGTATCTTTCATGCCCTGGTGTCGTGTTGGTGGTCTTCCTGCTTTTCGGGCCATGCTGAACACACACAGCGCGCCAGCTGCCAGGCACCGGTGACACGATAATTTGGTGGGTTCCCGAATGCACCGCATTTTCTGGCCATGGCACCGGTCGCATGCAGCCCGTTTCACAGCACTCATGCTGGGAAAAGTGGAGTAAATCGCAAATTATGTCGGGCGGTCGGGCGAACTGGACAATTAAATTGGGTTCACGTCATATCAGGGAGGGGAATTAACATGTTAAGCGCAGTGTGAGATATACGAGTCCACAAAATGGATTGTGTATGCGTCGTGGTCGTCGTGGTGGGGGCGGGCAGATCTCTATAGTTTGAAAATATAATGGGTGAGGAAGTTTTGGGATACTCTTCTTTTCAGGTCAGGGAGCAAGAATCGGTCTATAAAGATGGCAAGCTGTGCAGGAACTGTATTATCTGTAGCTTCGTGGTTGTTCAGTCGCTTAGCAAACTTCCCTAGAAAAGACGGCGCAAAGACGAGTACAACAGAAGAGACCACTCATAGCACAACGCGCATTTGCTTGTGGATGTAAACCAGGCTCAGAGTATGGGCTCACTAACCTATTACACGAGCCGGCAGAAGAAAGTATAGACCTGGTAGATCCATACAAGTAAATGACTGCCAAAGCTTCGAAAGTGGCTGAGGTCAAAGCTAATAAGTACCTACAGTAAGCCCGTCAGCCAAATAAGAACCCTGAAGATGGGGGAATGGAGGGGGTGGGAAGCAGTCACCATCAGAATTCGCGCCTATTTCTCGAGTCTCCGAATGATTGTAAGCGCCAATCTACTAAGTAGATAGCTCCGTTCCCTATGTTAGAGACTTAGCTTAATTAGTGTGTTATGCACGCTTGACTGCAGGTCCCTCGACTCCAACAGGTCAAGCTGAGCTTGTTTGGGTCTTAGTATCTGCGGTGTCCTACTTCCCTTGCTGCCCAGCTGAGCCACGGAATGAAGGATGGTATGTCGTAGATAAATAACTCCAAAAGTGGTCAACCATTCCAGAAAAGATTCTTGCATTATCCGATGTGTAATCCTGTCGTCACCCAACGCTATGGCCATCTTTGTTATCTTACTCTTGGTGAGAGGGGGGAAGGAAGGACGAAGGAAGAAGGACGATGGAAGTGACAAGTTAGTACTTCAGGGCCTTCCCAATGGGGGTACTAAATGGGGTAAGGCAAGGCGTTGTTTGTTATAGTGACACAACAGATTGTCTGCTTGGTAACCGCAAGAGTAAATAGTTCAATCGGTGCCGTATGCGTTGCAGTTGCTCAATAGTGAAGAAAAACATTTCTGCATGTGCTGATTGGCCCACATCACCTGACTTCTGCGGCTTTACAAGCTCTTTGTCGTCTTCCTCCTGGACTTCCTACTTCTAGAACCAACTTTATGTGTTTTGATCCGATCAGAAATTCACACTGACCCTTTGGCATCTCAGAAGAAGTTTTTTTCTGGATGCTGCCTAGAACACAGTTCTGTTTATTTTGAAGAGGCATTCGAAATCCGTGTGAAATGAAAATTCCCGAAATCGGCTGGCTGCTCCCTTGCAGCAGCAGTCGGGTTGCTTGGGCATAGCGCCTCAGGCTCTCGAAACCCGTATGCTATGGCTGCAGTGCTCTTAGCATGGGAACGGAATGGAGACAGCAAACACAGCGTAGATATAGCTGTGAGGGGACTGTGGCATTCTTCTAGTGTGAAATTTACCAATATGGAAGCAGTCCCTTGGGGAGTATCAGCGATACCCTCGAGCCTCGATCCCATTATCCGAGACCCGACTAATCCACCCTTTATTAGATCTTCAGGCATACAAGACATATCCCTCACCGATCTTCCTCTTGTCTGTCTGGCCTTCTTATGCCTTACCAGCCCTGTCGGTCAAGGCTTGTAACGCTCAAGTAGCAAGGCGTTACGGCATCAGGACATAGACTGACCCTAATAAACGCATTGTTGTCAACACCTTATAGGTGTAGAAACCGGAAAGCAAAATATGCGCTGAAAGCAAAGGTGCTCAGGATGTGGATGCCGGCATCTACTATAATATTTCCAGATCCGGGGGTTTTACTGTAGCCGCCTCAAACTCGCCGGCCTACTCCCCGAACATTCCTGTCAAAGGGACCATCCGATAGCACTTGAGCTTATTTGATCGAATTCCTCTGTGAACTGTTTTCATCGCGCTTGTTCTTCCATGACAGTACTCATCAGGCATTGAGGTGGAGGAGTCGAAAGGACACCCAATGCAGAGCTCCAATTTCGAGCCAATTGCCGTCATCGGGTTTGGCCTTAAGCTCCCTCAACAAGCATCGACTTCAGCAGGCTTTTGGGATCTTCTCATCCAAGGCCGTTCGGCACGTACAGAAACTCCTACTGATCGGTTCAATGCCGAGGCTTTCTATAAGGCAACGGCTGCTGGTGACAGACAAAGAGTGGGCACAGTATGTTGAAAGATAAACTTGTGGTATGAAAGTTGAGCAGGAGATAATTATAGATACAGATAAAAACTAGACATGGGCATTACATTGCCGAATCCTTGGACCGCTTCGATGCTCCCTTTTTCTCCATATCTCCCCATGAAGCAGAATGCATGGATCCACAGCAGCGATGGCTCCTCGAAGTGGCATATCATGCACTGGAGAATGGTACGCATTCGTATGCTCCTCAACATAGGCAGGCTGCTAACGACAAACAACAGCAGGCCTTAGCATTGAAGAAGTAGATGGGTCGAATACATCAGCATTCGTAGGCAGCTTCATGAACGATTTCGAAACGATGCTGCACAAGGATTTGGACATGCCGAGCACCTACCATGCTACAGGAAAGGCTAGTGCTATCCTTGCCAATCGGATCAGCTGGTTTTACAACCTCAAGGGCCCCAGTGTCGCAATCAACACAGCTTGTTCCAGCAGTCTGGTTGCCCTACATCTGGCGTGTGAGAGCCTCCGTACCGGAGAAACAAGCATGGTAGGTTTCATGATGGGTAATCATATCCGAGCATCTGTCTTATCAGCTTTCTCCCTAGGGTCTTGTCTGCGGCAGCAATCTCCTTTTTACCCCAGAGAACACGGCCGGATTATCCAACCTCAACTTCCTCTCACCGGATGGTATATGCTACGCATTCGATGAACGAGCAAATGGTTACGCTCGTGGGGAAGGCATTGCATGTCTTGTAATCAAGCCGCTCTCTGCCGCTCTAAGCAACCAAGATCCCATTCGGGCCCTTATTCGAGGAACCGGTGTGAACTCGGATGGTCGGACTCCCGGAATCTCACAACCAAGTCCCCGCGCTCAGATTGATTTAATCCGAGGTACTTATGCTCGCTTTGGCCTCGCGCTCGATCAAACTCGTTATTTTGAGGCGCACGGGACCGGCACTCAAGTGGGGGACCCCATTGAGGCAGAAGCCATTGCGACGGTGTTTCGTTCAGGACAACATGACAGACGACCCATCTATGTAGGTGCACTGAAATCCAATGTTGGCCACCTTGAGGGTGCCAGCGGACTAGCAGCGGTGATCAAGGCTATCTTGGTGCTAGAGCGTGGCGTCATTCCCCCTAATATCTGGCATGAGAGACGGAACCCGGCAATCAAGGAAGAATGGGGGTTGCATTTCCCTACAACCTCAATTCCGTGGCCCGAAAATGAGCTTAGGCGTGTTTCGGTTAACTCTTTTGGATTTGGTGGGACCAATGCCCATGCAGTTATTGATGGCGCTCAGTCTGTTGTCCGGAATAAAGGACCGGGGCATCTGCACATAAATGGCAATGCTTTCCCATCCCAGGAAGCTACAAAGCTACTGGTCTGGTCAGCAGCCGATGAGAAGACTGCCTCACGGATTGCTCAGGGTTATAAGGATTTTCTTTCAGAACACACTGAAAGCAGATCGCCAGCGTACCTAGAGGCCCTTGCATTCACCTTATCGCGGCGTCGCTCTCAATTCCCCTGGAGAACTTTCTGTGTCAGCGACCCTAGCCAGGGGCTCGGCAACCTAAGCGTTCCCCCGGCCGTGCAGGTCAACTCAAAGCTTCAGGTATGTTTTGTGTTTACCGGACAAGGAGCTCATTGGGTGGGCATGGGGAAGGAGCTCCTCGACTACGACGTCTTCAGGCGCAGTCTAGAGGAGTCAGACACACTCCTCCACAATGTTGGATGCCAATTTTCAGTTCTTGGTGGGTAAAGCAATGCATCATTCTAGTCATTTGACAGAACAATTCTAATATTCACTATATCCAGAAACACTGTACAGTGATAAGGGCACCGAACTGAATCAACCAGAGTTCTGCCAGCCGATTTGCACAGCTCTACAGGTTGCCCTCGTCGAACTTCTAGCGAACTGGAACGTCCATCCATTTGCTGTGGTTGGTCATTCGTCCGGAGAGGTTTCCGCTGCATACTGTGCCGGAATCATCACTAAAAGCCACGCTCTTGAGCTGGCCTTCTTCCGAGGCTTAGCTGTCTCGGCAACATCGCGAATGGGTTCTCCAGATGGCGGCATGCTGGCGACACGGCTCTCATCAGATAAATGCTCAAAGCTGCTTGCAGACCTTGCAAATAGTCAGAACCCCGAAACACGCAACATAGGTATCGCGTGCTACAACAGCCCCCAGAACTTGACCTTATCCGGAGATACGAATCAAATCGAAAGACTGGCACTCACGTTGGAAACAGAAGGAATCATAAGCAAAAGGTTGAACGTTAGCATCGCGTACCACAATGCAAAGCATATGGAACCTGCAGCAAGCTTATATCAGGCTCTTATCAAGAAGTTACACTCGAGCGAGCCCGGAGGGAGGGCGAATCTAGCACCCAGTTGCTACATGTTTTCCAGTGTTCGCGATATTTTCTTTGCACCAGACTCGGATGCATCTGAAGTTTCGAAGCCAGACTATTGGCTTGACAATCTTGTCTGCCCAGTACGATTTACACAAGCCATGCAGAAGTTAGCATCGCTACTCGAAAATAAGGTTGGAATTGCGAATATCCATTTCATCGAAGTCGGACCACATTCTACACTCAAATCAGCAATCAAGGAGACCCTGGCCCTAGAAGCCAAGGACTGGAGCGTGGAAAGGTCGTACAGTCATATGTTATCTCGCCAGCAATCAGCAGTATCCACCGCGTTGACGGTTGCAGGAAGACTGTATAGTCTTGGCCTTCCAGTCGATTTGAGTGCAGTGAATAATCAGAACTCGAATAGCAATCGGGTACTCTTCGATCTTCCGTCATATACATTCGATCATTCCAAGCGATACTGGATGGAAAGTCGCATCAGCAAGGACTATCGGTTTAGGAAATACCCCCACCATGATTTCCTCGGCAAGTCAGCATCGGATTGGAACCCTCTGGAACCACAATGGAACAACAGAATTCTTCTCCAAGAACAGCCATGGATCAGAGATCACCAGGTGAGTTAGCTTCACGTGGCTTGCTTTAAGCTTTTCATCCTTCTAACCAGTCGGCACAGGTTTCTGGGGCTTGCGTCTATCCTGCAGCTGGAATGCTTGCTATGGCTATTGAAGCTACACGACAGGTTGTACATGTCCCCCACCACCAGCCGAAAGGCTATCAGTTCAGAGATGTTGTATTTAGCAGAAGTGTTGTGGTCCCAGACTCAAGGCTGGGAGTTGAGGTCCAGTTCCGCCTGCGAAAGGTTGAGCAGCTGAGCATGGACCTTGCCCCTTGCTATGACTTCCGGCTCTACATGCACGACCACGGGCAATGGACTCAATGTTGTCGAGGCTATATTACGGTTGAGCACCATACTAGCCTTTACGACTTTGACCTCGATCGCAGTGTGGCGGACGAATATGTGAAACGACTGAGTGCAAGCCTCTCGCCAACTGAACACCAGAGATTCTATGCACGCTTGCGTGACTCGGGGCTTAGCTATGGTCCAATATTTCAAATGGATCGCGACATCATGCACGGTGCTGAGAATGAAGGTGTCGGGACGATTGATTTGCAAAGGTGGACCGACATCATCGAAGAGAACGACCAATCGCCCTGCTTCATCCACCCTGCAGCACTCGATTGTATCATTCAGGTGGCCTTACTTGGGATCACGCGTGGGGGACAAGTTGAAATCCCAACCATCGTACCGACAGCGGTCAATCATCTGTGGATATCGGCAGATATAACACGGCAAATGGTTGCTGTGTCCGCAAAATCTGTTCGGAGCAGTGCGCGACGCTATGATGTGGATTACATCTCAGTTGGGGCTGAGAACGAGAGACCTCTTCTCATAGGCGATCTAACACTCACATCCATTGAAAAGACTGCTAACCCAGCTGTAAATGAGACTAAGGAAAGCACCGTCTCCATGTACCGTGTCGACTGGAAGCCCGATGTCAATCTTCTTGGCCCCCAAACTGGGTTATTTACCGCCCAGCCATTGCAGCTATCCCAAAGTGAGTCAGAAAGGATCAGGCTCACTGAATATGCCTGCTTCCTTGCCATGTCTGAAGTTTTGTGCGCAGTCGATGGTGGCGTGTCAGTTCATTCCCAGAGCCCTAAACATCTACAGAAGTACTTGGCTTGGATGCGACATCAGGCCGGGCTTATAAGAGCGTCCCTTGATTGGAAAGATTGGATCTTTACACAACCAGCAGGTAGTGGGTTCCAGGAACAGCTGTGGCAGAAAGTATCATCGTTCGGACCCGAGGGCAGGCTTATTGTCAAGTTGTGTCGGCAAATACTGCCCATCATCCGGGGTGAGATTGATGCGCTGCAGATTCTCTTTGCCGACGATATGTTGGCAGACTACTACCGTCAGGAGAACCCTCCTCCTGAGGTCGTGAAAGGAGTCCAGGAGTATGTTGACTGCATGGCGCATGCCAATCCTAACATGCGGGTTCTGGAAATTGGGGGAGGTACAGGTGGTATGACACGGTATATCCTGGATATCATTGGCAGCCATGATGGCAGTGTTGCGGAGCGTTTTACACAGTATGTGTTCACAGACATCTCTCCTGCCTTCTTTAAGGACGCCAGAGAGAAATTTGGCAGAGGGGAAAGGATCATGATGAAGACCCTCGATATTGAGAAGATGCCTGTAGATCAAGGCTTTGAAAAAGAGGCCTTTGATCTCGTCATTGCCAGCAATGTAAGTTCGCACTCTGCATACCGGTGGATTCAGAGCTGAACAGCCTAGGTTTTACATGCCACCAAGGACTTGGAATTGACTCTGGGGAACACCAGACAGCTTTTGAAGCCTGGAGGGAAACTTATACTCATTGAGGGCACTAGTCCTAACCTACTAAGGACCTCTTTCATCTTCGGCTGCTTGCCGGGGTGGTGGCTATCAACCGAGTCGTATCGCGAGTGGGGACCACTGGTCCCTGTGGACCGGTGGAATAAGCTGCTCCAGGATAGCCAATTCACCGGAGCGGAATTCCTTATAGATGGCCCAGACAGGGAAAACTCATTGAGTAGTGCGGTGATCTCAACTGCGCGCCCTCTTGTTCGATCTAACAGCGACATGATGCCAACATCGTCAGACATTCTCATTCTGAGAAAAGAGAGCTCAGGTTTGCAGCAGTCCTTAGCCACCTCGATATGCGAATTGATTAAAGATTTGGACCTGTCTGTCAGCATCCATGATGCTTCTGAACTACATGAGGTTCCCAGTGGAGCTACAGTGGTCTTCTTGCAGACCATTGACGATTTCGTCTTCCACGAGCTTGACGGGAAAGGGTACCAGAATTTAAAGACTACTGTAGCAATGGCCAATAAGCTGCTTTGGGTGACACGGAGACACGACAGCCCAAAGCCAGGTTCGTTGAAGCAGGAAGCTGTGCTTGGCCTTGCACGCTCCCTTATGTCAGAGAACGAGGGCCTCAATATAGTGAACCTAGGACTGGAAGATATCGAGGCTACTTCTCGCGCAGCACAGCATATCCGGGCAGTGTTGCAATACTATTTCTGTGCTGACACCTCCTTACTGAGCATGAATGGCGAGGAGATCCTTGAGATCGATGGCCGCTTATGCTTAAGTCGTGTCTTGCCGGCAGAGATTATAGCGAAGGAGATCTGGAGTATGCAGAAATCCAAGGCCCATATGGATAACGATGTGCGCAGCCTTGGGAACAATGAAATTGAAATCCAGATACACGCAGCTACGATTACACCAAACATTACCACTGGCCAACCTTCTTTGGGCCAGGAGATAAACGGCACCATCACCCAGATCGGGTCAGACGTGCAAGGCACCTTTCAGGTTGGCGATCCCGTTGCTGCTATCGTACCGCATTCTGGCACGGCATCAATCAAAGATCGGATTCAGTGCCCGGTTGGTCTCGCTCATAAGATCCCCGACGAATCATACAGAAAGGGAGAGATTGTTTTGCCACTCGATTTTCTGATTGCATACGACTCGCTGCACAATTGTGCGCGGCTACAGGCAGGGGATTCGATTATCATCCATGACGGCGGTAGTTCACTCAGTCAGGCCGCGATTCAACTCGCTCAGTTCCTGGGTGCAGAGGTTTTTGTGACTTTCAATACTAAGGATGAGGAAGCTATAGCGGATATGTACTCTATCCCCGCTTCGCACAGATTTCCACATCAAGGACATATGCTGATGATGGGAATCAAACGCCTAACCCACGGTCGAGGCGCGGATGTCATGTTCACTCCATTTATTGCGAAGAAATCGGATCAAGCAGCGTGGGACTGCATGACAGAATATGGCCGAGTTATTGAGCTGGTCGACACGAATGCATCTACTTCCCTCAGAGCTATGCCTCCCCGGCCTCGACTCTTCAAACAAAGCGTCATGTTCGCCCGGCTGGATATTCCGACGCTTCTTCAAGACACAGAGAAAATTGCAACTATCTTGCCTCAGGTCATGCGTCTGATAGAGCATAAATCAGTGGTTGCCGTACAGCCTCTCAGAGTACTCGCCTTCTCTGAGCTTGAGAAATCCGGTGGTGTGAAGGCTGTTGAGCAATCTCAGTCAGCCAAGACGTGTATTTCCTTCGACTTGAACGATCTTACCGCATCTAAGCCGCAACTATTCGACTCGACATCGACATACCTCATTGCCGGGGGCTTGGGTGGTCTTGGGAGAAGCATAGCCAAATGGATGATCTCTAATGGGGTCCGATATCTCGTTCTCCTTAGTCGGCAAGGTACAGAAAGCCCTGGAGCAGATTCCTTCCTTAACGAATGCGCGACCATGAGCGTGACAACTTTCGCGCCCAAGTGCGATATAAGTGATGAAGTGGCAGTCAGTGAAGTTATCCAGGAAGTACAGCGGCGGATGCCTCCCATCAAAGGATGCATCCAGGCATCTATGGTCCTCAAGGTAATCTATCACATAAAAAAAAATGCTCCAAGCAAAAATCACAAGCTAACATGTCTGTTGTTGCAGTCTGCCATGTTCGCGAATATGACCCTCGACCAGTGGAACGAAGCACTACGCTCAAAGGTGCAAGGCTCGAATAATCTCGATCGCCACCTTCCAACCCAGCTGGACTTCTTCATCTTCTTATCGTCCGTGTGCGGTATAATCGGCGCCAGCGGTCAATCCAATTACGCCTTTGGCTGCGCCTACCAAGATGCACTGGCCCGGTCTAAAGTTGCGATGAGACAGAAGGCTGTTTCAATTGACCTCGGGATTGTCGAAGGGGTTGGATACACGGCCAAGCATCAGGGCGTGGGTTCCTTCATGCGCTCACTGGGCTTACAGCCCATTTCTGAAGAATATCTCCTTTCCATACTAGAATACTACTGCGACTCCAGGCGTGAAATTCTTCATCCCAGCGACGCCCAAATAGTCGTTGGCATCATGAACCAAGACGAGGGGCAGCGAAGTGGACTTGTGCGCTCGCGATTTTACTCGCGGCCGTTGTGGAATCATTTGCAGCGACGCATGAACCCAACGCTTGGCAGGAGCAAGGTCGTTGCTGCTCAACGATCGAATGAGAAGGACCCCTCATCGCTGAAACTCCCGACTGCCGCGATCGATGATACGCTTTCGTCTACTGTGGCAGATGGCGGTCCAGACGCGGTCAGTCGGGCGATCTGCGAGAGGGTCTCGGATGTGCTTGCTATCGACGCTGATGATATTGATCCAGCGAAGCCGTTGCATATGTATGGGGTGGACTCATTGGTTGCGATGGAATTGCGGAGTTGGTTTAAGGAAGCACTCCAGAAGGATGTGGCTGTGTTTGATATCTTGAGTAATCGGCCGATAGAAGTGTTGGCTCAGGAGGTCGTGGGTGTGGCTGCGGCTGCATGAGGTGGGTTACAACTGTTCTAGGAGTCCGTGACATTTTCTCTCCGGTTGCGGTGCTTCTGCCTCATACATGCACTCCTTTGGCTAAGGTAACCTGAGGTGATGTGCAAGGTACCCTGTGGTGATAGTCCGCTTATTGCGTCATGATGAGCGCTGTCTTGCGTACGCCCGTCAAGTGAGCTTCTAAGAAACCTGTCTTTGGCATGTAGGAGTGGTTGATCAGCATTACTCGGTAGCATAGATCTTGACTTCAGGTTTCGAATATCAGTCATGCCATGTGGTCATGATCATAGAACATACACACGGTCGTGGGTTCATTGGCGGGACCAGAAACCGGCTATAGAACGAGCTATGGGCAATGCATCAGGGCAGGATACTCCATCATTATCTCCAGGATGTTAATTATACAGGGACGGACCGGTGACGTAGAAATTGATAATTCCTGTTTGTTCCATGCTTTCACGCTGATATCACCAACGGTCAAGAAACCAACCACATGGTCTGATCCGGTCATTGAAATTGTGATCCCATTTGCAGGTTATTATGTGGATATCAGTCAACTGTTCGTAGGATCCGGAAGCCCTGGGTCGATCTTTAGGTGTGGAGGTTCCCTTCTCGACTTTTCCCAGTGTTGATATCCACACGCGTTACGTTCTTGAGCGGTCCCACGCTCTTTCCAAGGCATTGGGGGTGGACGAGACAACTTGCATACCCTTCGCGACACTGGGTCACCTGTGAACCCTATGCTTCGCTGGATCTAACCAGAGGCTGCGAGTAGTCGTGTGGCCAATCTGCATTATTTCCGTAGGGTCTTTTACCAGTCCACCCGCAGTTCCTCTGACACCTGCCAAGCACCGTCCCCATAATCCGTTGTATATGGTTTCATCCATTGTACGCCTGCTTCTCGCGGCTATGGTTTCCGTGGTGTCGTAGGTAGAGTGGCCTTTGGGTGTCTTCGGATCTGGGTGATGGCGATCGAGTAGGGATGCGGGTTACGTATCCAGCTATCTTGCTCGTCGGAGGCAAGGCAACAGGGGCCTGGAACGCAGTAGCACTATGCGCATTAACCGTGCCTTATGTCTCTGCTTGCCCTTGGAGTGTATGCCGGCCTGTGGCCAGTCCCTCGACGTAACTGCTGCTCGTAAGGCAGTGAGCCCACTGCCGGTTAGCTGTGAGAGTGCTGCCAATATATGGCTTGCTCCGGGCCATGACACCAGGAAGTAGCATCGACGATGGATTTGCATTAAGTTCGCATAAGTGTGGAGGGGGTTTGGTTCTCAAGCCTCATATCTATCCTACCGTTGTCTTGCTACCACGCGTGGTGCTGGTCTCTGATGGGTTCAAGGCCTGTAGGGTCATGGGCCAGTTGTCTTTGGTTTGAGCACCTTGTATTCAACCATTCTCTTGGGGATGCCAGCAAGGCGGCGAGGTGCGTAGCAGTATGTCTGTCTGTGGCAGTTACCCCGCAGGTAAGCATTTGCAGCTACTGCATTCCGTTCTCTATAGCATGGGAGCTATGTCCGTTTGAGTATTCGTATTGTCTGGAGAAAATCCATCTTCTGCCTGGATTTCCTTGCTCCGTAGCATATCACACGGCGGCATATCCATCGCGTAATGATCATAAAATGAAATCCAACGCGAACAGACGTGTCGTGACGCGCTGCTGTCCCCGTGACCGTGGTTCCTGTTCAGGTAAGCGGGTGTTGTTGGCCTGGGGCAGCAGCTGGATAGATGGTTGGATACGAGTGACATAAAAGTGGCCGATCATGAGCAACAATGCGCGTCTTGTTTCTGATCTGCTGTTTATAACGGTTCTTTATATGTTGAAGAGCAGTATTTTAATAATTAAATGTCATAATAATGTCTGTTGGTTGCGACATCAACGATCTCAAATGGCCATCAACCGGAGTTCGTAGTATGAAGAGCTGCGGGTTTGAGTTGAACCCCCCTGTCGGTCGGGTCGGGGCGGGTTGGTCCCCGGGCTCGGGGTGTTTCGGTGTTTTTCGGGGGTTCAACCCGGAGCTGGGTTCAACTTGTGAGGAAGCTCGATATACTGTATGTAGGTATTAGATCAGAGGGTTTGATCAAGGTGCTGGACTTGATACTGTGATTTTTCTTGTTGTATACTAAGATCACCTTATATTTACTACTGTAACATGTCTATTGGTGCTAATCTTCGTACGAATCTATCACTAAATGCCGTACATGGTCTTAATTCGCTGGTATCATGCCGGCAATGTCGATTGTCATTGATTGATCCTGTGTGATGCCAGTGTGATCCTGTTATTGATCCGGTGGGTGTTACATGGCTTTGTCATCTATTTCGTATGGCTCGTCATGTAGTTTGTGGTGTTGGTGTGACTACTATACGTGGTGTTGATGGATTGATATTGGTGAACTATGGTGTTGGTTATATATATTGGTAGGGTAGATTTATGTATCCGAGATGTGATAACCCTATAGATCACAACTACCCAGCAACAACACCACAACTACATCATCTATAGCAGATAATAAACATACAAACAAAATGTAAGCGCATTTGTAAGACCTAGACACACTAGAACGCCAGTTATTGCCATCAAATCGCTGGTCCAGTCGTGGTGATGACCATGAAGACGAGAATGATGATACAATGCCTCAGGCATCAAGCAGCAGCGGAACCACCGGAGAACGCGTAGCGCGTCGCCCACCATACACAACAAGTGAATTGCACAAGTTAACATGGGATTGATTGAAGTGCTGTAGACTATAGGATGGAAACTACAATTCCTACTACCATTGATGCTCTCGTATGATAGACATCGTATGAAATGCCCAATTTCCCCAACACAACAGCCTTGCTCGGGTACGAACGACACGCGAGCCTCAACATACACAAGATACGATGCTCATACCACGAGGAAGCTACAAATACACAATGGAAAGATGTGATCATTTTCGACCGTTTGTATTCATATCGGATCGCGTCAAGGTCGCACGATCCTCTTTAGCCTATGGCACCAGCCGAAGCGTAAAAGGCCGCTATGATACAGAAATTCAACCACGACCACCAGCAGACCAGTAGTGGACGCGTGTAATAGTAAATAAAATACGACAAAGCAAACCCAGACCCATGATACTTGTAATAAAAAGATCAAGAACACCCCAACGTCCCAGTCATACCATGAACCAACCCGAAAAAGCAACCCGTCGCGTCACTGCTGCGGAAGGACAACTGACGCGCCGACCGCGCAGGATGGCTAAAAAGAAACAAGCAGGAAAATAGAAAAGGCGTTTAACCACCGAAACCGTAGAGGGTACCTGAAGGAATGTATGTTAGACGCGTTGGACATAACCAAGCCAGAACAGATAGTACTTACGGCCCTGTCTCTTAAGAGCGTAGACGACGTCAAGGGAGGTGACGGTCTTGCGCTTGGCGTGCTCAGTGTAGGTGACGGCGTCACGGATGACACCCTCAAGGAAGGTCTTGAGGACACCACGGGTCTCCTCGTAGATCATGGCAGAGATACGCTTGACACCACCACGACGAGCGAGACGACGGATAGCGGGCTTGGTGATACCCTGGATGTTGTCACGCAAGATCTTGCGGTGACGCTTGGCGCCACCCTTGCCGAGACCCTTTCCACCCTTTCCACCTGTAGAGACGCGTCAAGTCAGTCACTGTTGGTTGCGGAATAGACAATGGACGATCTATCGAGATAGATAGATAGACCATGAGAAGTGATGAACTTACGGCCAGTCATTGTGAAGGTTGTCTAAAAAGTAAACGGAAATAAAGTTGAATTAGAGTTGAGGGTGAAGATGGTGGAGATAGTTAAGCGTTTTAGAGTGAGATGGATGTAAAAGGAAGAGGGCAGAGAGCATCCATGGGACGGGAGATATTTGTATAGCAGAAGGCGCGCCGCGGGGAGGGCGTTGGAATCACACGCTAGAGGGCGGATCGACCAATCAGAGTTCAGGATCCCGGCCAGCGGACTGATCTGGCGGCAACGTGACCGGGCAGGGATGATTCCGCTGGGATGAGACTGATTCCCACGGGAATGCTCCCAACCACCTAGATCAGCAGTCAGGGAGTGTCAGGGACATTCCTGTCGATGGCCATGAGCCTCTCCAACAGGCTGATAGGATCACATTCCGGGCCTGAGGTTGGGATCAAGGTGAGGCAGGGGCAGCTTCTAGATCCGTGATCCTGGCTTCCTATTGGCTGGCGGACACTAGGGCGCTCGCTTAGCGCTCCGAGCAGGCAGAACGGGGACTGACCGCCTTTGGGCACTTTTGATTTTCCCAGCGAAAAGTGAGTCCCGAAATCACGGCTTATGGTGTGCTGCTTTCCGAACACTTTTTCGATCAAAGGAACGGCACGCTAAGGCCCCCTCCCTTTGCTGGCAAACCCAGATCACCACCCACCCTTTCGCTTACTACAAATACCTCTCCCCACCCGCCTCCTCCATCCTTCTTCCATCTCCTCATCCCGTCCACCCTTATCTATCAACCTTCATCAATCTTCCATCCTCAACGTCATCTTTCCATCTCTAAAACAACTAAATCCATCAAACTTAATCCACTAAGATGGCCCGCACTAAGCAGACTGCCCGTAAGTGCAACCTCACTGTCCTTTCTCTTAGTGTCGCTTGACCGCGTCATGGTCGCGACACCCGTGTCTCACTTGAGGAACATCATCACTAACCATCATCTCAATATAGGTAAGTCCACTGGTGGCAAGGCTCCCCGTAAGCAGCTCGCCTCCAAGGCTGCCCGTAAGGCCGCTCCCTCCACCGGAGGTGTCAAGAAGCCTCACCGCTACAAGCCCGGTATGTATACACTCATCATCCCAAAGTGGCAAAGTGCCTAGTCGAACAGTCAACTAACAGTCTACCAAAGGTACCGTCGCTCTGCGTGAAATCCGTCGTTACCAGAAGAGCACTGAGCTCCTGATCCGCAAGCTGCCCTTCCAGCGTCTTGTTCGTGAAATTGCTCAGGACTTCAAGTCGGACCTCCGC